AAGAAAAAAACTGTTTCCCATTTAAACATTTTCATTTTGCTGAAGATATCCTCATTAGCATCATTATTTTCCATGTAGAATTCTCTGCGAGGTCTTGTTCGTCGATCAGGTATTTTGTTCCTCGCAGCCAGTTAGTGTCTGCAGCTCCAAGTTTACTTTTGTGGACATGTTATCTGCTAAGTAATTATTCTAAATAAAATTTTGCAGATAGAAATTAATTAAAAAGTTTTCCTCTTTTAGTTTCTTTTAATAACAAGTTGTAGGTGCAGGTTTTGTTTTGTCAGACTGTTTTTGCCATTAATATTCATTATGAACCAGATGAAAGAAAACAGCTAGTATTAGTTAGCTGACTCGGAGACAGTAGCAGGCTGCCCCAGAGCTGCTGGGCCACCAAGGACCCGGACCTCCTGCTCCCACTTCCCTGCTCACTTCCGCTGTCCTGTTCTGGAGCGCCCCTTCTGGTGGAGGAGCAGAGCACAGGGGCAGGGCCAGCGTGTTTAACTTTGCTCCAAATGCTTCGATATATTAGGCAATAAAGAAAGGGGTGTTTTTATTTTAAAATTAAAAAAATTATTTTATTTAACTTTATTTACTTACTTTTAAATTCGACCCGAGATGGACAGAGGGAGAGAATGAGAGCAAGAGAGAGAGGGAAAGTGAGAAAGCAAGCCACCAGGTCGGGCCATGTGGGAGTCCAGCGCCCTTCACCACCCCGCCTGCCCGTCTCCATAGGAGTGTTTTTTAAAACGTGCCTTTTGCTTTCTTTCCCCATCCTCCCGTCCCGTTTTCTCTCTTCCCTTAACTCTTCAGTCCTTTCATTTTCTCAGACTCATCATTGAATTTTTCTGCCATTTCCGCCCCCTCTTCTGCCTCCTTTGGCCTCCCCTCTCCCACTCCCTGTCATCTCACTCATTGTCCCAGACGCTCTCCTCTGAGAGGTGGCCGGACTTGCCTCTCTCAGCTGCTTTCTTCTAGTGCCCCACCCCCACCTCCCTCTAAGAGTGGCTTATCAGAGTCTTCAATGTCATGATCATAAAGACTCAGAGAGAAATTCTTGTCCCTGCCGCTCAGCATCCCACCGGGATCAAGTAACCGACAGAGGTTGTGAACCTGTGCACCTTGTACGGCTTTCAGCTCAGCACAGAGGGCGGCCTGCTCGCGCGGGCTTGATTTTATGGATCTGTCTGAAGACAGAGGGATGGATGGGGTGATCTCAGGAGGGCTCTGCCAGATCGGGGAACCTGGGAGCCTCATCTCAGTCATCATCAATTTAGATTTATTGGACACCCCCTGGGTGCTTGAAGCTGTACCAAATTATAACCTCTTTCAAGCCCTGAAATTCAGTTTCTTCCTTTTTAGCATTGTTTAAAATACTATGTAAAATATTGGGCTAAGGTGTTTTTGTTGCTTTTTGTGTTTCCTGTAAGGCACATGCACTTGCTGGCGACAAAGACAGAGGACAAGAAAGTGAGAAAATACACCCCCCTTGGGGGATGGCCACTCCTCAATCCCTTCTCCTCTAGGGATTTTGGGCACGTATGCTCTCATGACCGGCCTGCCCGCCAAGCAGTCAGCCATGTGGGATCCCACCACCTAAGCACTACGCCAGCAGCTGGCTGATATCATGCTGAGTTTTTACAAACTTTGGTTTTATTTCTGTTATCATTTACTACAGACTTTTTGGGAAAACAAACAAACAAACAAACATTTGTTTGGGGACCAGCAGATGGCGTAATGGTTACGTCGCTGAACTCCCACGTAGTCGATCAGTTTGAGTCCCAGACCCGACAGCTTAAACTCACACCGAGTGTGGGTGCATGTGTGCCCAAAATCCCGAGAGGGGAATGGAGGAGAAGGAATTGTGGAGTGGACATCCCCCTGCAGGGGGGTGATTTCTCGCTTTCTGTCTTTCTGGCGAGCACACACGCCCTCTAGCAAAAATCTCAAAGAAAGAAAAACAATATTTATCTATTTGTTGTGATTTTCAAGCGGCCAGGTCCAGGACTCGAACTGCGGTGGGCAATGTAGGAACTCAGTGCCTTAACTGCTCCCACACCTCCTCGCCCCCACTACAAACTATGTTTTAAAAGTTAAATTTAGAGCAGTCAGTGCTGCGATGGTCTTCTGTTCGCTTTAGCACCCTCTGGGCATTGAAGACCCTGCATTTTCACTCGTGCTTCTCTCCAGCTGACTGAGGTCTGAGCATGTGCTGACAAGTGGGTGGGTAGTGCTCGTGCAGAGGGTGCTTTATGGACCTCGGAGCTGAGGTGGGGTGGGATCATGGGGGTGCTTTAGGAGAGGCTTGGGAAGGAGGGGGTGAGACAGAGAGAAGGCGGGGAAGAGGCTGTGCACGAGGGCTTGGAAATAGGTTCTTTTATTCAGTTAGCAAATATTTATTGAGTACCTATTTGTGTAAGTAATTTTCTTTTCTTTTTTTTTGTTTGCTTGTTTGATTTTGAATTTTGCCAAAGGGTGTATGTACTTCCCAGAGACAAAGAGGGAAAGAAAAGGGGAAGCGAGAAAACACCCTGTGAGGAATGGTCTTCGCTGCAGTCCCTCCTCCCCATTTCTCCCTCCCTTCAGGATTTTGGGGATACACACACATGCATCTGGCCTGTTTTTCAAGCCACCGGGTTTGGGACTCAAACCATGGACTCGGCTATGTGGGACCCAGCAGCCTTAACCCACCATGCCACTGGCTGATCCATGCAGGAAATGTTCAAGGTGCTGAAGGCACAGCAGGGAGTTAAAATGATTCGAAGTCCCGCCTTCACTGCCCTGTTGTGATGGTACACTGCTGGCATTACTGCTTGGGGGGCCTCGGTTCCGTTCCTGGGCCAGCCTGAACACGCCGGATGTGGTCACACGTGCCTGTAATCCCAGAGACCTGGGAGGCCAGGCAGGACAGCAGCAGTAAGGCCCGGTCAGAAATACCTGTCCCAGACATCCCTGGGGCACAGTGAGCAGCAAACTGAGCTGCAGCGCTGGAAGCCACACGGCTGACTGCAGGTTCGGATCCCTGGGTCGAAATGGAAACACACCAGGTGTGCGTGCCTGCCTGAGACACTGAAGAGCTGGAGGACAGGCACAGGGACCGTGGTGTGACAAGACCCTCTCCAGTGCTTCCCCTCTCTCTAGGGGGCGCACATGTGCTCTCTATAAAATAAGTAAACTTTATTTTTGTATTGCTAGTGTGCATACACTCAGAGAGAGCAAGCAAAGGCAAAAATCATCCCCCAGTGGGGCATGGCCATGCTGCAATCCCTTACCCTCCATTTCTCCATCCCATCAGAATTTGTGGCATGCATATTTATTGTTTTTCAAGCTGTTGCTGCTGGGCTTTGAACTACGGCCTACCACGTGGAATCAGGCTCCCTTTGCGCAGGGCGTATGCACTGCTCTATGGGGTTGGCCCAAAATAAATAAACTTTAAAAAAATTAAAAACCTGGGACCAGCAGTTGGCATAATGGCTATGGTGCTGGACTCCCATGTAGCCGACCGCGGTCTGAGTCCCGGACCTGGTGGCTTAAACTCACGCCGGGCGCGTGTGCAAGCATGCTCAAGATTCTGAGAGGAGAATGGAGGAGACGGGATTGCAGTGTGGCCATCCCCCCTGGGGGGC